GGAAGGTTGTGGTCCAAGGCCATTTTTGCTGGCTTAAGTGGGATCTGCAGAACAAGAGGGAGTACCACCCAGCTTTTCTTAAAACTGAAGACGCTAATACCTGAAATAAAACTGAATTCTATTTTGGCAAGAAATGTTCTTTTGTATACAAAGCAAAGAACACAGTGACTCCTGGTGGCAAACCAGACAAAACCAAAAAAAATGTGGGGAAAAGTCAGTCCACTTGTGCTCATGGAAACAGTGGCATGGTTTGTGCCAAATTCTGAAGCAATCTTCCTGCGAAGGCCACTGGACACACAATCCACATGATGCTGTTCCCCTTGAGATTTTAGACTTACTGAAAAGTAAATAAATAAAAGTGTGTGGGAAAAGTTAAGTGTTTAATAATATAAGAATCTCTTAAAATTTACAGGACCCATACCAAGAATCTGCCTCTACCCTTCATCATTTCACAGATCTTAGGTACATTTCATGAAGTGATTAGGTCAAAACATCTGGCTAATGAGAATCAAATGGCTCTCTTTCTCCAATACCTAACATATTTATTTGTATCCATGCCTTTCCTTATGCTGCCTTCCTGTCTGAAACGAGCCTTCCTCAACTCCATATGGTCGAGTCCTACTCAATTTTTAACACCCAACCCAAACATCACCTAATTTAGGAAATCTCTCTGATCCTCCATGTTGAGATAATTCTCCTCCTCCTCTAATCTTCCTTAGCTTTCCCATGGCTCTTAGTTTCTTTTAATTTATGGTGTTTTATCTTTCTTGCTAGACTGAAAGCTACTGAAAGCAAGATTCAGGTTTAATCATCATTTTATACCCAATAGTAACTACTACAGTGCCTTACATAGAGTATGCAATTAATGTGTCAAGTGTCATGATTTACAATAGAAAACACTTAATCCAACAGAATGCATGTGAAGTAATCTATTTCCTTGGTATCCTTTAGAACTCATGTAATTTTTAATAAATTAATTATTCCCAGTATTTCCATCACTCTGAATAAAGGAAGGTCATTCTTTCCAGCGTAGGAAGTCTTTGGATTTATAATTGGTTTTTAAGACTTCCAGATGTTATGAATTTATTTCTAAAATTGAAAAAAAAAGTAAACAATAGAACTAGTTAGCAAACAAATTGAAAACAGTCAAACTCTGTGTTTACCACAAGTATCACAAGTAAGAGACCACTAAAAAAAAAAAAAAAATTTTTTTTAAATGGAAAGAAACACAGGTAATTTGCCAAGGATGATAAGAAAGAATGACAAGAAAGTCAAAAGTTAATTTCAAAATCAATTTAAATAATTGAGCTAGAAATGCATCATGATTTTCATCTGTTTTATTTTGGGGATTAAAAATTTTTAAATGACATATAAGTGAGTATCATAAGAAGAAAATACTTCAACGAGGAGTTCTTACACTTTTGAACTGTTTCACTTCCCTTGACTCAATTTCCTTGCAGTAAAAATTCTAAAAAGGAAAAAAAAATGTAAAATAATCAAGTCATCAAAATACTGACATTTTCCTCCTCTTCCACAAATACAGGCACCCCACACATAATGTAAGACAAATGTTGAATGGCTTTTTTCGTATTGCTTGCTTTATTGGTTTAAATTCCCCGGAGAAGTATAGAAATGCCGGTTGGGTTAGTTGAGTATGCCAAGGAATATATAGAAACAGGTAATAGTATTCTTGAGAGGACCCCTGTGTGTAGGAGTTGGAATCCAGTTTTCGGTTGTTTGGGTCAAGGTCAGCTCCAAAGTGAGCAGCCTCATTGACCTAGATTCAGCATCTGGGTTGTATCACTCTTGATTGTTGCTTGGTGTGAGCTGAAATGGTCACTCCTAAAATATCAGTTAGGGTATGACTAACAGTGAGAGGCCAACAGCTAAAGGTTATAATTGGAGGCACTATGTGATCAAACTGCATAGGATTGTATGAAAATTCTTTGGCCCTCTCCATCTCCCAGTTTGAAGTAGTGTACTTCAAATAAAAGTACGTTTCAAAAAAAACGTATTTTTATGGTGGGGAACGGAAGAAATAAGAAGGAAATATGTTAGCTAGTTATTAATTGTGATGACTAACTAATTAAGAAGAAAGCCTAAGCTAAAATAAGTCTCTTGAAATATTTTAAAATATCAGAGAGTTACTCTTTCCTATTCAAAATATAATCAAGAACTGATGGACTCTTTGAAATCATATAGCTTTAGCGGAGGAAAAGGGGAGAGGATGCATCTTGAGAGATTTCACTGAAATTAACATCAGGTTGAAGAAGGTAACTTTATATCTGCACTTTTTGCTATAGCAGACACCAGAGCAAAATATGGCCAGACAGTCAATTGGGACAGCATGACACACCGCTGGAAAAAATGATGTCAGGTACAAAATTACAAGAAAAGTAAAATCATTGTTGAAGCCACGTTAGCATACCCTGCTCAAAATTATATCTGATTCTCTAGACACTTCACTTGGAAGATTCCCCAAAACAAAGGCAGAGAAATTACATAAATGGTTTTCCAGGCCAACCTTTCTGATTTAGTGTGCTGTAAGTTGCTTGTAGTGTTTCTCCAAGTAGGGAATCCAGGAAAATTTCTAGGGGCTGTGGGTTTTGGAATCTCACCAAATCGTTAATGATTGCAGCCATACTAGTTAGCAAAAAGAGCTAACCATGGTGTTAGCTCTCTTCCTAGTTGTTTTTGTCCAAGACTACATTGGTGTAATTAAATTTTGTTCTCTTTGGCTAAAAAAGGTGAAGAGAACACTTCTCATTTCCTCTTCTCAACAGCTTAGAACTTAGGGGAAGCGGGCATCAAGAGTTTGGGGTAAAGAAATCTTAAGACACAGAATTTTAAAATATTGAAAAAGAAGGCCAAGATATGGGTCATATTGAATGGGCACATTCCTGAAGTGGCCATTAGTTCAGTTATTTTCTCTCATTATTTTCTGGTAGTTATTTACTTATTATGATAATTTACTTGATTACTCATAATTATTATTTTATATTTTCTGCAAGAATGAAAGTTCCATGGGGAAAGGGCTGTGTCTGTTCTGGTGGTCACTGTTTCTCTGGTACCTTGCATGTAGTCTCAAAGAGAAGGTACTCACTCAGTAAGTAAGTGCTCAGGAAGTACTGACCTATTCTAAGCTTTCTGGTGATTTCATTATTTTTCTAGTCTAATTTATATAATCTAAATTTAAATTAAAGGCTTCTTAATTCTCAACCTGGAATAGTGGTTTTATAAGAAAATCATCACTTTAGAATAAAAATATCCATCTGTAAAGTTTTATGATATTTTTCTTCTTTTCTTTTTTTTTTAAAATCCCTGCCAAATGAAAGTAATACAAGGAAACTCAAATAATTTGCCAGGGCAAGTTTATTAACATTTTCCCAAAGGATATCTTATTTGAACTGTTTATTTTGGATCACCATCCAAAAGATAATTTTTTTTAAAGCTTATAAGAAAATGCTTGGCTTATAAATGTTAGTTTGCATAGATAAAGGCAAGGAATGGGGTTGAGTGAGGAAGAGGAATAGTGTCTCCCACAATTAAAATATTCTCAGAAATTGTTTTTGACTGTGTCATTTAAGCACTTAGCCCTAAAGAGTGTTAATGCAGAGAGATTCAATCATCTCAAAATAAAATTTGAAAAATACTAAATATCTAATGCCTGATGAAGTTCCTGGCACATAAGGTGCTCAATTATGAATTGGGTTTTCATGTTTTGATTTTATTAGTAGGAAGAAGGTTATTTTCATGAAAAAATAATTGTGGACAATTGTCCATAATTAAAACAATAAAGAAAGCCCTGAATAATAATAATAATAATAGCAGGTTTTATTTAATATTTACTATGTGCCAGCCTTATTCTAAGTTTTATTGGTATGTATTTATTTTTATATGTATTTAATATAATATATAAAAATAGAATATATAAGTAAAATATATAACATGTACATGTAATTTATTTAATCTTCACTACAACCCTGTGAGCATGACTAATGCTATACCTGTTTTGCAAATGAGTAAAATGACTTCCCAAAGACCACATGCTTAGTGAACACAGAGCCAAGATTCAAACCCAGGAAATCTGATTCCAGGACCCATTCTTTCAATCCCCATGTATTAAGTTGAATTTAGTAGCCCTAAATGCTTTCAAACAGATCAGAAACTTTATATTTAAATGAGTGTTTTCCTCATCAATGAAAACATCGGAGTAGCTAGGTTTAGTTCATTCTTTTCCCTCTCAATTACATATTTGTTTGAAGCATTATTTTCACTGTTTCCACTGGTGAACCTACTGAGAGTAGGTTTAATTTTTTTAACTGCCAAAAACGATTTGTTGCAATTTCTGGTGAATAAGTAGGATTAAATAAGTAAAATTGTGTGACACTGCATCAAAAAACAAAATGTGAATACAAAGTAATGATTCCAATTTTCCTTCATGTCTCATAAAATGATTGTAAAGACAATCCCACAGATTAGATCCAAAAGTGTTTTTGAAAAAATATATAATGTGAAGATGTAGTCAAAGGTGTATTCTTTCTATTATATTAGTAAAAAGAGAAGAATAGAAAAGAAAAATCTCAGTGCTTTATGGAATTTAAAAGTCAATGGAAGAGTCCTTGAAGTCTATTGTCTTGAATTGGGGTGGTGAATGTACATTGCAATGCTGAGGTCTTTGTGTAGAATCTCATTCTTCTACTAAATTATATTTTTTAATCTGATTTTTGTTTTTCTCAGAATCTGTTAGGACAACCCAAGTTTTATTGTAGGCAGTATTAATCTAGGATTAGCCAAGCAAAACCAGAAAGTGAAAAATTAGGCTTTCCCTCCCCTGAGGGCCTGTCCACGTTGTAAACTGTACAAAATGATCCCATCCTGACAGTGCAGAAATGAACACAGTTTCCAACAAAACTTACATATGTGGCAGGGAGCTGTCCCGAAATGACATACTTAGACAAATATTTCCAAAAGGATCATAGATTTTCCTTTACAACAGTATTTCATAGGCTTACAGCATTTCTCAACTTGGCCTTCTCTTTATCATTTTCTCTCTTTATCATTTTTTTTTTAAAAGCTTGATTAATTTTCAGTTTCTTCAAAGAAAATTTTTTATTCAAACAACAATTTTATTTTGATGTACATGTTGTTTCAGTGCTATGAAGCAATTGAAGAACATGAAAAACAGTTAAGCTGGGGAACATTGTGGATTATTAACAGTTAAATTAAAGCAGATAACTAAATTCCAATTTTTATTTTATTTTATTTTCACTTTAATCATTTGATAGATGTGCTGTTTTCCCTTACTTTATAGATTTGGATTTTCAGGGACATTGTCCGCTTTCCACATTTTTGTCTCCAAATTACTTTCCAACAATTCAGGTAAGTGCCTCTAGGTATAGAGCGTATCTCCTTGATGATTCTAACAGTTTCTGATCAATTAATTAATTATGCTATTTAAATACCTATTGTGTGCAAAGCACCGCACTAAGTTTGTTAGGGTATAAACAGAAAAGTAATATGATTCTTAGTCTTAAAGAGATTATATAATTTACTTAATATTGAACAAATCCATTGGGCACTCCTATAATAAATTCATCTATGAAGTGATAAGTTTAAACATAATTTGACTGAGATTTATTCTAGTTTAAGAATTTGACAATTTTCTAAAAAAATCATAGGGTACTTATTTTTTCCCCAATTAAAAATATTTCAATTATTTACTCATACTTGCTTCTCCCTCTTGTAATATGTTTTTTATTTCTACAGTAGTTTCTGTTTTCCAAATAGCTCTCACAGAAATAGATGCATCTGTTCTCTGGACTTAACAGTATATCATTCTTTTTCTTAAAACACATTATTGTAAAACACAGGTAAAGAGAACCAAACATAAGTTTTTAAAAACTTGCACATGAAGCGTTTTCTGAGCTATGAGCTACTTAAGCTCTCTCTGGAGCTGATATATGGATGCCTTTCACTTAAAGTTCATGCTAGAATTTTTTGTACTTTAAGAGATTATACCTATTCTAGATTAATTCTTTTTTGTTATTTATTTTATTACACTTGAGTTCATTTTGTTTTTAGTTGGAGTAGCCTGATTAATTGATGTATTAATTTTGAATGGGATGCTTCAGAATAAGGCAATAAGCTTACAAACTCTAACTATTAGTAGGTAGCATCTATTTTTTTCTATTGTATACACTTTAGTGAAATAAACCTAGAAAAAAAGAAAAAAGAAACTTACTTTCTCAATCCAACCAAAATGTTTCTTATACCAAGAGATCAAAGAAATTCACATCAAAATATGTAGCATTTTTAAAAAGCGTATGAACTGCTTAATAACTATAGGGACTGTTAATATCCACGATCCAGAGATGGGGTGGTTAGCCTTTTTGTGACTGCTGTGTTGAGTCATGATAAGCATATTCTTCATCTGACTGTCACATTGTTTTATTTGTTAGTCATAGCAATTGAGTCTGATTCATACTGTCCTATAGAAAGCTTAAGGCCTTGCAAGCATGCATTCTTCTAACATTTATAATCAAATGCTTCACTCTGACTTAGGAAAGTGCTGACAATAATGTAAGCTTTTTAGTGTAGAGAACAGTGGATATACTTAAAAATAATACGACAAAAATCTCAACATTATTATCTTCCAATTGGACAATTTTACATGATTGGGGCTAATTAGATCTTTCTTCCTGATTCTGCAGAATTCATGTTAGTGAATTTTGGCAATGTCTCTCATATTATCCTGTGCCAGATAAGTGAAGATGTCTTGGTGGGCTGATATTGAAATAAAAGGTGTGAAATCAGTTTAACCAATGGTCCTATGATTAATGGACATAGCAGAAATTTTAATCAAATTTGTAGGTGATAAAAACCACATGTTGCATGGCAATATTAGGATTAAAATTAAAATCTCAGAATTTAGTGATGGTGGGCTGATATCAACATCATAAAGTTGTGTAAGAGATAAATGTAAAAGCATCTATCAAAAACTGATTACAGAGGAATATGGTGAAGAGACATGGCTGCATAATAGTAGCTGATGTGACAAAAACCTACCAAAAAAAGTTGATAGGTTTTAGTCAATCTTAGCAGGGAAATATGGCTGTTAAATTGGTCTATGCCCTTGTTTATGAATTAAATGTATACTTATTGAGTACCTATTGTGTGCTAAGCATTATGCCTGGCATGGGGCTAGTGACGAAATAGACCTGATCCACATCTTTAATAAATCTACAAACAGTCTTGTCTGAAAGGTTGACAAGAAAATTTCAACTCAGAGTGAAAGATACTATGAAAAAGGTGGTAATGAAACTTGTGAAGGCCATATGATCCAGTCTATAGTGGTCAAGATGAGTTTTCCACAGCAAATGATTTCAAGAATGATACTGCTTCTGCTTCTATCTTCTACAAGTCTTACACAAAGAGGCTCATTCAGTTACATCTAAATCCCAACCTTGGCCTGTTCTATAACGTTCTTGCTACCCTTCCCCCTCCTCTACACTACCTGGGAAAGACTGAACATGGTACCATTTCTAACTTCCACAACCATCCAGAAAATTCTTATAAATGTGAAGTTGGGCAGTGAAAAATTCTGACAACCAAAGGGATTTCGTAAGACTTCTTCCCTCTTCTTGATAAGAAATAGAGTTGCATTCAGGTTGTGCATCCCAGTAGCTTTTTTAGGAAAGAAAGTAGGAAAGAGGATAGATAAAAGCAATCTAGGGACTTCTCTGGTGGCACAGTGGTTAAGAATCTGTCTGCCAATTCAGGGGACACAGGTTCAAGCCCTGGTCCGGGAAGATCCCACATGCTGCAGAACAACTAAGCCCGTGTGCCACAACTTCTGAAGCCCATGAGCTTAGAGCTCGTGCTCAGCAACAACGGAAGCCACCATAATGAGAAGCCTGCCTACCACAAAGAAGAGTAGCCCCACCTCTCCACAACTAGAGAAAGCCTGCATGCAGCAATGAAGACCCAAAGCAGCCAAAAAATTAAAAATTAAAAAAAAAAAGAAATCTAAAAGGCAGATTAGTTACTCTTTCTTATTTCCAGATCATAATGCCTCAAAACATTCAGAGTTGGAGCAAACACATCTACAAAAGCCATTAGCCCCCAAACAAGCCATATTCTGTAGTATTGTCAATAATGTTTATCAGTAAGAGAGAGATGTTATATTCTATATTCTATTAAAGGAGTTAGGTAATGCATTTGAGAAAGAGATCTAAACGTCTATTTTTAGAGTAATCTAGGTATTGTTTATCCTAAGATCTCTTTACTTTTTCTTCTTCGTCTCCTTCCCCTCCTCATCCTGGATCATTCCTTCCCAACATCTGCATGGTTTGCCCCCTCATCTTCTGCAGATCTTTGCTCAAATATCACTCAGTGAGTATTTCTTTGACTGTCTCATTTAAAATCTCACATCCTTACCATCCCTCTACCTTCTCTTTCCTGCTTTATTTTTCTTCTCACCACTTAAGATCCCCTGATATACTACATATTTTACTTACTCTTCTGCTAGTGTCTTTCCAAATGGATTATCAATTCCATGAAGACAGGGCTTTTGTCTCTTCTATTATTTCCTGCAACGCCAGCACCTAATACTAAAGTACCAAGTATTGGACATGGTAGATCTTCAATAAATATTTGTAAAATAAATGAATGAATAAATAAACCCTAAACATTTACTTCACCTCTGACCTCTTTCCTGAGTGCCACACATCTTTACTCTAGAGATCAGCACTATAGTCCACCTCTTGCCTGGATTCAGGTAAGACCCTTCTAGGTTCTCGCCTTGCTTCCAGTCTTTCTTCTTTTTACATTTATTCTCTATACCATCTCTTGAGAAATTATTCTGAAGTCCAAATCTTTATAATTTTCCAACGGATTTCACCACCTTTAGAAGAAAAACCTACATTTTAAGAAGAATCACGTTAGCTTTCCTCATCTCACTTTGCTGTCTCAGGTCCTAACACTCCAGTCTTCATTCTGATCATCCTAAACTACTGGTGTTAGAGTTCCTCTAACTCACCACCTTCTTTCATACCTCGAGATCTTCACCTACATTCTTCTTGACACACTATTTTCACAACCCATTTTATTAGCCTAGCATTTATTTCACTATTTTCACTATTTTCACAACCCATTTTATTAGCCTAGCATTATTCAGTGTCAGATGTTCTCGCCCCGGGACGCTTTCCCTAAAGGACAGAAAAGCCAGTTGTTCCTGATAAGTACCACATAGTACTGGCATTTTCTCAAAGCAGTCATCACATGTTATTTATTTTATTTTTTATTTTTTTGCAGTACGCGGGATTCTCACTGTCGTGGCCTCTCCCGTTGTGGAGCACAGGCTCCGGACGCGCAGGCTCAGCGGCCATGGCTCACGGGCCCAGCCACTCCGCGGCATGTGGGATCCTCCCGGACCGGGGCACGAACCCGTGTACCCTGCATCAGCAGGCGGACTCTCAACCACTGTGCCACCAGGGAAGCCCCCATCACATGTTATTTAAATTGATTATTCTTCTGTGTCCTCTACTGGAGTCTAAGTGCCATGCAGATGGTCATCTCATTTGTTTTGCTCACATCCAGATCCCTAGAGCTTATTATGGTGCCTAGCTTATGGTATGCATTTGATATTTGTTGCAAGTAAAAGAGAGAAAGAATGAATAAGGAAAAATGGAAAGGGAGGAGGTGGGAGGATTAGACTTTATTCTGTATTTAAAAGAAGACAAGCTTAGATTGCCCATGGAGATAAATGTTCTTATCTTAAACATTTTAATTAGATAATAAAAACACATTTAAAATCCAGCAGAAGATGTTTCAATGTTATCTTTAACTCACTCTCTTATTTAATCCAATATGCTCCCCAGGCCATAACTGGTACTAAATAAATATCTGGTAAATAACACACAAGACGGTTCTTTTTTTCAGCCAGATAAGACATAATCTCTGTGAATATACACAGAATGTTTGTTCAATAAACTTACTGTATTTTAGTGAGAGAATTTAAAATGCCCTCCAGGCCAGGACCTGGTGCACCCACCCCAGTTCACCATGAGACTAACAGTGACTCCATGAAAAGAATTGGATGGGAGACCTCTCAGAGATCATTTCTGTGCAATGGATTTTTAATCAAGTTCTTCTAAACTAACTGTAATTTATTATCTATATATTCCTCAAATTTGCTATTAAATTGTTCCATCTTCAAACAACATTAACCCTTGGGCGGTCAAGTTCCACAAATTATCAGTCACTGTTTTAAATAAATGTTTTCAGTTGTTCTAACACTACCTATTCAAAGCTTTCTAGGGTGCCCAGTACTTCTAACCTTGCCAGACTTCTCGAACCACTCCAAACCACCAAATGATTAACTTCCCTCTTATTTCCCCTAACTTTGATCAAATTTCTTATCTGCTCTTGCCTTTCAAGGATACTGAGACAAGTATCAAATCCAATCCGCCTGGACCTAGAAGCCTCACTGTAGGGAAGGCCAGGTGCATCCTCACACATCCATAGCCTGATAAGAGGCTTCTTGTCTGTCCACTCCTCTCAAATCTGCAGCAATAACCATTCTGAAACAAAGCTAGAAATGTAGGTGAAGAAAAGGGGTGGAATCAGTCTGAGCTTGAAACTGCTGCCATCATGTGTATTGATTTTTCCTTGTCAAAATATTATTGCCATCTTTCAGAGCTCTGCTAAGGCTTTGGAATCCATCTCTTTGCTGAGTCTGTCATGTGTTATAATTCTCCTCAGACCATGAGCTAATGCTGTAGGGTAGTCCACCACCTGGTCTCAGAGGACTAAACTCTATCTTCATGCTTAAGACAAGAATGCTGATGAGGCGCTCCTATTAAGTAGAACTTAAGTAGAACTTTCTCTTTCATACCATGTTGGCAAAATTAAGCACACACTAAAAAACCTAACAACAGTAACAACAAAATTAAAAAATTACAGGGATTAATTTTACAGGTGAACATTGTGAACATTTTATTCCTTGTTTGTTTCATCGTGCCTTGAATTTTTTTTTCGTCAAAATATACTCAACTCACATTTTAATGTAACGTTTTTCTTCTGATTCTGCTTACATAAGACACCTATGACTATAACAACCATTTCCTAACTGAATAAAGGAGTAAAATGTGGGAGAGAGGACTTAAAAATTAATAAATATTAACCTAAGAAAATGAGATCTTGTCAAATGTCATTATTTAAAGCCAAATATTGGATATTAATTCTGGTTACTTCCTGATTTTCTGCTTTAACTTCAACTAGCAAAGTGATTCAATAATATGTTGGATATGAATTCACCACAAAATTGTCAATTTACTGCAACGTGATTTCTAGAAATATGAAACAAACAAGTCTTGGTATGTTAAAGTGAGATCTGAGAAGTGAGAGAAAAGAATGTGAAATTAGCATATGGCATAATTTGGAAAAGGAATTGATTAGACTGAAATTTTGAGATGGAAAAAGTACTGAGCAAGTTTGTGATGTAGGTGCAAGCATGCTGGCTAGCTTAGGAGTGGAATAGAAGAAAGGAGAAAGAGATGTAAGAAAAGGTAGTTAGGCAAACATTATTTTATTTTTATACCCATAATTTGATTATTATCATTAAATTTCTATTCATTTTCAGTTAATAAGTAATCCTGTATAAGAGTACATTTCCTACCAAAACTCAAATAAAGAATGTGAAAAAAAAGTTGTCAGTTCAGTTCAGAGTTTTCCTTACATTTACCATTCATACCATTAGGAAGAACATGGGCATGTTGTATTTAATAAAGCCTACATAAACTACTTATTTAAAAAAAACACTCTCTATTTATGTACCCCATGAAAAATACATACCACTGAAGAGAAAAAAACAATGGAGTGTACATAAACTAATAAAAGTGGTAGGATTTATCTTTTTTCTTTCTTTTTTTCCCTGAATTATGGTAAAATTCCTGAAAAAAGAGAGAATTGGACAAATATATGTGTTACTTGTACTTGGACCCACAGATGCTTCCTCAGAGGTTAATGAGTTCCCCATGAGATATTATATTATTGTGTTCTCATTTTGATGATACACACAAACACACATGCACACATATGTATGCTCTGGATAATACGTTTGGCACTTCTGTAATCAAGTGGTGCCAAACAATAGTCCTTGTCTTTACGTTTGTGTTTACAGCTTTTGGGTGCCAAATAAAACTATACTAATTGAGTTGAGCTAAGAGAACAGTGAAAACAGCAGGAGTCAAATTAATAATTAGTATAGAAATGTTGTATTTTCCCCAAGTTCAAATGCTGTCATGGCTTGATTGATGAATCAGAGTTTCACCGTAGTTTGAAAAGACAAAAATGATGGAAAACTTGAGCAGAGAATGAAGTAGAATATAAGGGAGAGAGAATGACACTTTCTTGAGTATATGCTTTTGTATAATTTTGACATTTGAAAGCTCTATTTTTAGTTGGAAATTTAGGCCATTTATATTTAAAGTTATTATTAAGCATAGTTTTACATTTCTACATATTTTAAATATAAATTAATATAAATGGGAAAGGAAAACAGTAACTCAAAAACTGAAAGAACACTGAAACAAAGGACGTAATTGCGTTTCAACTGAATACCATAACCACACTACAGGGACAAATAAACAAACTCAACTAGATGCTGCCTATATGAAACTCAAAATATAGGAAATAATAAATAAGCAAAAATCAGTGTATTAGGAAATAAGAACACCATACAAAATAGAAAAATTAGAAAACCAAAGGTGGTTTTGACATGGTCAATAAAATTAATAAAACTCTAGTCAGGATAATTAAGAAAAGGAAAAAAAAGATACAGAAAAGAAGCCAACTACCCATATCAGGAATGAGAGAGGTGATATTACTACAGATGTTACAGTTATTAAAAAGATAAAGGGGGTATTATGAACAATTTGTGTCATAACTTTGAAAATTTATATTAAGCAAATAACATGAAAAGCACAAACTACAATGTTTACTCAAGAAGAAACAGATAACCTGAATGCCATAGGTTTATTTAAAATTATGTAATTGCAGGGCTTCCCTGGTGGCGCAGTGGTTAAGAATCCACCTGCCAATGCAGGGGACATGGGTTCGAGCCTTGGTCCAGAAAGATCCCACATGCCGCAGAGCAACTAAGCCTGTGTGCCACAACTACTGAGCCTGCGCTCTAGAGCTCCCGAGCCACAACTACTGAGCCCATGTGCCACAACTACTGAAGCCTGCACACCTAGAGCCCATGCTTCTCAACAAGAGAAGCCACTGCAATGAGAAGCCCGTGCAACAATACCAAGAGTAATCCCCGCTCGCCGCAACTAGAGAAAGCCTGCACGCAGCAACAAAGACCCAACACAGCCAAAAATAAATAAATAAATTTATTTAAAAAAAATGTAATTGCAGTTAAAATCTTTGTAGAAAGAAAATCTAGTTCTAGATAAGAGGTGAATTCTAACAGTAAAGAGGTAGCAGTATCTATGCTACTCTATCTTGTCAAGAAAAATAAACAAGATGAGATATTTCCCTACTCATTCTATGAGGCTATTGTTACCATGATCCTAAAACCAGATCAAGATAATACACAAATAGAAAATAGCAAACTACATCCCTTGTGACTATAGATGCAAAAATTTTAAACAGGGCTTCCCTGATGGCGCAGTGGTTGAGAGTCTGCCTGCCGATGCAGGGGACGCAGGTTCGTGCCCCGGCCCGGCAAGATCCCACATGCCGCGGAGAAGCTGGGCCCGTGAGCCATGGCCGCTGAGCCTCTGCGTCCAGAGCCTGTGCTCCGCAACGGGAGAGGCCACAACAGTGAGAGGCCCACGTACCACAAAAAAAAAAAAAAAAATTTAAACAAAATGATAGCAAATTGAATCCAACAATACTTTTAACAGTATAATATACTGACCACCTGAGTTTTACCCAAGGAATGAAATGTTTTAGAGTTTGAAAATCAACCAATATAGCTCACAATGTTAACAGAGTAGAAAAAAAAGAAAAAACACATGATTGTCCCAAGAGATGCAGAAAAAGCATATGGCAACATCCAAATCTAGTCCTGACGAAAAACTTTCAGCTTACTTGGAATAGAAAGGTACTTTCTCGACCTGATAAAGTGCTTCTATGACAAATCAACAGCTAAATTTATACGTAATGAAGCAAGACTGATTACCTTCCCTCTAAGAGAAGCAAGAGGTCAAGACAGTTTACTCTCACCACTTCTATTCAGCATTGTGTGGGAGGTTCCAGTAGGTGCAGTAAGGCAAGAAAACTAAATGAAAGGCATACAGATTGGACAATGAAAACTGGAACTCACTCTGAGTTTAGCA